GTGTTTTTGGTTTGTTGGTGGTTCTACTGTGAGACTATTGCAGTTTAAGTGATCGTAAAAACTCAGTCATGAAAGTAATCTTTCCATGAAAACATATCAGAATTTATTAGCAGTATTAGAAAACTGCACGTAGCAATAGGTCAGAAGGTACATATCATCAATTTGTGTTTAAATTAAACAAATTCTAGTGGCAATAGTAATTATAACAACAACAGTTACACAGGAACAACAGTTACTGTTGGTGTTATTTTATAAAGTAGTAAGAGAGTAGGGAGGAGGTTAGAGTTGATGGGAGTTTGAAACAAAGGACAGCTATTCCTTTCCAATCATGAACCAATAGTCAAAACTGCAGTGACGTTAGCATTTTAACAAAACCAAACAAATCTTTCCATAAACCTACCCAAGTAGTTTGTTGCTATGCCTCACATTTAACCATGACAATGAAAATGTGGTACATGATAACGACCTACTGAGCTGACTAAGAGCTGGACAGACTAAGGAATCAGAATCAGAATCACAATCTGCTTTATTGGCCAGGTGTGACGGACACACGAGGAATTTGACTCAAGTACATCAGCTCTCAATGGGCAAAACAGTAAACCAGCATAAGGCTGTGTAATATAACAAAATAGCAGTATTAACATCAACAAAAGGCAGTATAAACAGACAGTAAACAATGCAGACAACAAAGGAATGTTCACTGAAATGAAATAAATAGGGATAAAACAGAGTGCTTAAGAACTAGAGACCTGTACGAGTCTGTATAATCTGTACAATGCATATTTACATAGGTATTGCACTGAGGGTTATTGTCTAATCATACTGTCGTGGGTTAAGTGTTCATCAGAGCGACAGCCTGGGGGAAGAAACTGTCCCTGTGCCTGGTTTTCTTGGTGCACAGTGACCTGTAACGGCATCCAGAGGGGAGGAGTTCAAACAGATTGTGTCCAGGGTGTGAGGGGTCTGCAGTGATCCTCTCCACCCTCCTTTTGACCCGTGAGGTTTACAGGTCCTCCATGGAGGGCAAATTCACACCAATGACCTTTTCTGCAGTCCTGACTATCCACTGAAGTCTGTACTTGTCCTGTTTGGTTGCTGAGCCAAACCAGACAGTGATGGAGGTGCAGAGAACAGATTCGATGATTCCTCTGTAGAACTGTATCAGCAGCTCCTGGGGCTCCCAGGTCGAACTTCCTGAGCTGGCGCAGGAAGTACATCCTCTGCTGTGCCTTCTTG